ATAAAAAATAACATTTTTATAAACAGAAATACCAGATAACTTATTATCTTGTCATAAGTTTAGTTCTTTTTTAAAATACTAATGATGTATATATGTAAAATTAAATTGTTATATTTTATTATCATGATGTATTTGTATTTACTTATTATATTGACATATAATTAAAATTAAAAGAGCAAATTAGTGTTAGTTATCAAAGTTTAAGAATTAAATTTGTACTTGTATTTAAAATTTAAGGATTAAATTAGTATTTATTTTTAAAATTTAAGAACTAAATTGATACATATTTTCTAAGTTCAAGAATTATTTTGGTATTAAAAATTAAAATTTTAAAATAATTTTAGTATTTTTCGAAATTAGAGGATAATTTTAAGACAAATCTAAAAGTAATGGGGACTAATTTGGCATTTTAACCTAATAATTATCAGTTTTTTTTTCTTTTGTTACATGAGAAATTATATGATTTTCTAACTTTTTTTTAACATTTTATTGTGAGCTATATAAAAAAAATAATCCTTTTTTATTTTTAAATCCATTCGCACCTGATTCAAAATTTAAATTTATTATCTTCAAATTAAAATATCAAATTTTTAATCGTTGAATCACTCTATTAAAGTTATAAGATTTTCTAACATATGCATTGAGAATATAATTTTATTATTAATTTATATTAAAAAAATAAAATTTGATATATAATTTATTAATTATTTAATTAAATTTATATATCTGTCAATATACTAAAATTAATGTTAATTTCTATATTATATATATTTATCATAAAAATATACCTTTAATCAATATCTTAACAATATAAATTTAAAAAATTTATAACATATGCCCTATTATCTTTATAATATTAATTAATATTAAAAATAAAAGTTGATTTTTTTTATTTGTATAATGAAAGTTAATCATCTCTTATTTTTTATCTTATCACATCCATATGTCATACGATTCAAATTCAAAATTTTTTGTTTTTAACGAAAAGAGATGATACTAAACTATTTAGTTAATTGGCATAAAAATTGATTTTTATTTCAACAATTATATAATTGAAATGATAATATTAATTAATGATAATTAATATTTTTAATATTAAAAAAAGGGGAATAGAAGGAAATTTCCGGTACTCACGTGCATGAATGGACGGATTATAAAAGCGGTTTTGCTTTTCACAGCCATTGGTTGCACAAATCTCGTGGAAAAAGATCACGTGACTAGCGATCCTAGCTGGAAAAGGAACTACTAGTCGTAGACTAGCAGCCACGTCTATTTTTTGTTTTGTTTCGTTGGTAGTAGAGGTAAATTTAAAAAAAAGAATAGTATTTTTTCAAATAAATACAATTTTTTACATTTTTTTATTTTGTTTTGATATTAAAAGCAAAATATTGTGGTTTAAGATCAGATAATTGACTAATAAGACAGGTACCAAATAAGTTTGGTTTAGCTTTTTTTTTTATTGACTTTTTTATGCAATATGTTATATAAAATATAAATTTGTTATTTTTAATTAATTTTAATTATTAGTAATTTTTTATATATTTTTATTCATATTAATTATTATTTTATATATTTTTAAAATTGTAAAGACAAAAAAATATAGGCAACTCCTAAAGCTTTGAGGCTTACTCTAGATTTTCAATTAAATTTTTAAATTTTTATTGAATCAAATAAATTCTTAAATTTAGTAATTGGGGTAATTTAACATTTTTCTTTGCAACAAATTTAGTGTTTATTTGTGTTTTATTTATGTGAATAAAATATTAACATATCATTATTTACGTGACGAATTGTGACCCTATGTATATAAATAAGACACATATAAGTGTTAAATTCACCATAAAAATGTTGGTTAAATTGTTTCAAGAGCTAAATTCAAGAGTTTATTATTATTATTTTTGGATAGTTTACGATTTAGGGGATTAGGAGAGAAGCAGATTTTTCGAGGCATTGGTAAGGGATTAGGAGAGAGAGAGATTTTTCAAGATGTTAGTTTGGTTCAAAATCCCAATCAACTAACTCAAGTGGCTTAAGACTTGAAAACAAAGCACTTGGACCTGAAAATCCAATTCAATTTAAGTGTTTATTTATTTCAATAAAAACAGAAGAATTTAACCAAAAAAAAATCTAAAATAACTTTAAGGGACTTAACACATGGTTTTACCAAAAATCTGTACCTTCCCTACAATAGTTGACAAATAAAGCCATAATCATTTTGCAATTATGCTTCACACACAAAATCTCCCACAAAGAAATTAAGAAGTCATCCGTAGACTAGCTATTTGGTTTTTCCTTGGGCTGCTAAAGGAGTTTAGAATTGAGGTTATAAATGGGATGATTGTTTTGGCGTTTTTTGTGAGATTACAAGTTTGGAGAGAAAATGTTCATCTAAGAATATAAATTTGGTAAAATCATAAGTTAAGCCCCTGAACTAATCCCAGAATCGTTATTAAGCCCCTAGACTTTAATTGATGCAGTTAAGCCCTTGAACCCTGGGATCAAAGCAATTAAGCCCTTCTTCTTAAGCAATTTATTTTAAGCCCTTCAACCCTGGGATCAGAGCAATTAAGCCCTTCTTCTTAAGCAATTTATTTTAAAAATTAAAGTCTAGGGGCTTAATAGCATAAGAAGAAGGGCTTAATTGCTTTGATCCCAGAGTTCAAGGGCTTAACTGCATCAATTAAAGTCTAGGGGCTTAACAGCGATTCTGGGGTTAGTTCAGGGGCTTAACTTATGGTTTTGCCTATAAATTTTGTCTTTCTTTTTTTAATTTAAAGATACAAAATTTTTCAGCTTTTATATTATTAAATTTTTTATTTTT